CTGCATGAGGGAGAGAGAAAACAATGTAAATATGGCCAGTACACCAGCACTGAAGGCCCCAGTCAGAGCATGTGTGAACCCAGAAGTGTGGCGCACACACACTCAGCGAGGAGAGCTGCAGGCCTGGTCTGTCATGTCTGTATAACCAGGCATTGATTTTTCTGTCGAGGCCTGGCACTTCAGCCATTTATTCTCTGCTTTGCGGTTGGGCCCAACGGGTTTGAAAAATTCTGTTACAGTCCAGTCACCCCTGAGGCAAAAGTGAGAATAGATTTCACCTGTACAGGCCTACACCACTTATCCAGGGCATGGGCTGTCAGAGCAAAGGCTAAATGAAATGCTATCCATACTCCAGCACTCAGACAAGACCTGCTGTCTGCCGGGCAGCGGCTGGGCTGCTGGATAGCACCCTCCCGAAGGTCCCCAGTGCCTGGCACCACCACGCTCCAGGAAGAAAAGCAGACCCCCAGTGTGTTCTCAATAAGGGGTTCTTCTGTGTAGCAACATGGGTACATCAAAAGGTTTCTTCGATAAGAATAAAAACATCATAACTATGGAGTTTTATAAAATGAGTCTTTGAGAAAAAACAAACCTTAATTATTTCTGATATTTAAAAAATCCCTGAAAATAACAAAGCAGTACTTAATACAAGAAAATATCTCAGGTTCACAGCTTAAGATCTTTTAATATCTTTAATAATAAAGGGACTATGGCCAGCAAACAAAATCTTTAATATTTCTTCTGCTTGATCTGCCCCTTTTCACCTGTATTCATGAAATCAACACTAAAATTTCTTTTTATGTCTAATAAATTGAACTGAACACAATACCTATGACTAATAAAAATACTGTCTGGCTAATTAATTCCAGATAATGAATAATCAAAAAAATCAAATGGAAACCCAATAATCAAAATTAAAAGATGTTAATAAGTTGTTAAGCACTATACCACAAAATAGAGATATGGCAGCTTGAGTTGGCTATCATAAATGGGGCTATCCTTTAGGCAATTTAATGTAATTAAAAAGACAAGATTCTAATATCCATGTTTCAAATTATGATATAAATAAGGAGATGTTGAATGTAGACTTTCACTAGAGGTCTTAACCATGATTTTACAAATTTGCTTTGCTGCATAATGGCTGATAATGGATCCCAAGTCCAAATAATTAACCTTCCTATTTTGAGGCAAATGTGGATTACTTTAACATTTTAATCATTCAGTTTCCCAAATTCCTATGGATCAAATTATCAAAATTCCGTGTATAAAAAGCCCTCTTCTTTTATTATACAGTCATATTTTTATAAAGTTAGATCTTAAATGTAATAGAAAAAAATTATTAAATATTTAAGAAATGCCATCTAACATATCTTCAGTACTTCATTAATATTAAAATTGCCAATTTATTTATCTGTATGTAAACAGATACTATATTTACACCCATTAACACAGACTGATTTTGAAATTACTGTATCATTCGATCATTGCTTACTAGTACTAGAGAATGACAAATATAACTAAATACTCTGAAATGCACTGTAAAAAAATATCATGTCCGTATATCTCTCTGACGGGTCTTCATGCATTTAACATTTCAAAACCATGACAGGAATCTTATTTCTAAGATAAATTCCCCTATCTACTTATTTCTTCATGTATTTATTGTGGATCTAACCTTCTCCTACGAGAAATAAATAAGGAGGTTAAGTAGATGCTATCTTTTAACAAATAGTTTCTCCAGACTGTATTACAACTTTATGAATGACAAAATAAATCCCTCATTTTTAAATCTATTGTGATGTACATTTAACAAAATTACACCTATGAAACCTCAATATATGTACTCTATTATTCATATGTAATAAAAATGTTAAACTAAAGCTTAGTGCCTGCCATGAAATGACAAAAGTCAGATAACAAAGAACTAAGACCATCACTTGACTTTCAGAAAACCTCGTGTGTTTTACAATTTGCTTTATGAAAATAAATAAGCTCACATACCAGCACTTTGAAAAGAAGTAGCATTACCTAAGCACAATGGCCTTATGAAGATTAAGACCTACTAATCAATGGCTTGTTTCCACTACACAAATTCTGAGTCTCAAATATTTTTAAATTGCTGCCTTCATGCAAGTCAGTATGGCCTTCGCCATATCCCAAGGCATCTTGGCTGTCCTTAGAAACTGCAGGAAGTCCATCCGAAGATTCCCCGTGAGCTAAAATGTGTAGTTCTGCTCTGCCATGTGGACCCACGAGCAGGGCATCAGTGTGTTTTTGGCTGGACTGTACGCACACCTGAATACCCACCATACCGAACACAACAGTTCTTTTTTGTTTAAAGATGTGAGGTATAATTCACGATTAGGTATACTCTTGGTCATCACACAGGCAAAGTTTGGGCTCCCTTTGGTCCCCACTTTGTCTGGTTTGAGATCAGGTAGGTACTCTTATTGATCGAACACATAGTTCTATCTAGTATAGAGAAATCAAAGGAAAAGGAATCAGATTTAACTTTCTAGGAAATTACAAGCTACTAAGGGAGAAAAACCATTCACAAAAATAAACTTAATACCAGAAAAAAATGTAAATGCCATCATATATTTAAAAGATAAGCAATTAATGAGGCAGAGCAGATGAGGCTTCCCAGAGGTGGCATTTAATTTAAACTTTAAAAGATAGGTGACAACTGGAAATGCAGACCTAGCAGGGAGGGTGTCAGAAACAGGAGATGCAGGAGAGCCACAGAGCTGCGAGGCAAAGGTGTTGACAGGCCTCACCAACGGCGACTCCTAGTTGCCTGCCTCCTGCGTGGAGACGTCCCTCTGGTCACCAGGGACAAGGAGAAGCCCTGTGACTTATACTAGGCAAGATTTAAAAGATACATGCTTTCCTATCCCCACATAGTAGTCTTCCATGAGAAAGTTCTTGCTTAACTGAATATATAGTATATTGAAAATAGGTCTGTTTTACAAAAATTGGCTAATGAAGAGAGTTTCAGTAGGTCAGTTGAAGGACATACAAAGATAAGTAATTAACAATCATGTAAAGATTACAGTCAGACAGGATAAATAACCCAAACACATACAAAGATATGATGGCATTTGGTTCATCCTTACTGTTAAGACCCAGAAAATTAAGGCTGAGAAGAAATCGCTGGGCTTCAACACCATCTGTAACTCTTAGGAAACAGAGCTACTATACAACACTTACTAAAAACTTAAAATGCCAAACAGTGCTACCAAGCCTGGGATGAAAAGGGGTAGTTTGTTATCTTTCCCCCCTTCCATGGACTTCACTAGATGTTTCTAGTGGATATGAAGAGATCATGAAGGTTTCAAAATAAAAAAAGTCACAAGCAGAAGAAATCAAAATGATTCTAGACTTCTCAACATCAACATGGGGAATCAGAAGACAATGGCGGGAATGATTTTAAAATTCTGAGTGAAATTATTATAAAAAGAATGTTATACACAACACCTTTAATAATTCCTATCACGAGATGTTTTCATTACAGAGTTCCTGGGATTGAAATGTCTATATGCAAAAACTTTCAGAAATAAAGCCCCTTTTTATGTAAGTCTGACATAGAAGTCAATTAATAGTCTTTTATCTTAAATTTATAAGGATTCCTAAATTAGTGTTCCCAAATTAAATTTGAAGCACTTTTTATAATACTCTTGATATAGTCCTGAGCAGTTTCTTTCTTTATTGCTTTGTGTGCTGTTTCCTCATGAGCATTCTGCCAAACTTGGGTTGACTCTGGACCTTGATCTCTGACCTGTTAAATTCTGGGAGTAGAGGTGCAAACGATGGTGAGCAGTATATGCCACTGGATCCTCTTGTCTGAAATTCTCTCATTATATGATTGGTCATAACAGAGCCAAGATCCACATCTCTAGACTTAAAATTTTGAAGAGAGAATATTAAATATCTTCACTGGCAGCTAGATAACAATAGCTAGAAATTCTCACCTGGGTTGTCACTAGGTATTATTTACAAAGTTAAGCTGAAGAATAAGTAGGGAGCTGAATCATGATTACATGCTCAATAGCACTATCTTAGTAGATTATTTTAGCCTTAGAGACACTCAGAGCATTTGTCTATTTTCGAATTGTCTAAATAGTAGACAAGTGATGTCAAAATGCACAACTTGTATTTTGAGTTGCATGTATAACCTTATCTCTCCATATTACTAAAGTAACCTAAAAGAGGGTTTTATCCTCTTTTTCAAATTACATTTTTAAATGTTGTTTGGAAGCTCTTCAATTCAAATAAGTGAAATCTTCATTCTATTTATTAGAAACTTAATGAAAAATCTACACGAAACTCACACATAAAAAGGTTTTTTGATAAAAATGTTTTATTACTTTTTTTAATAGTAAAAGGAGAGACTAGTATATTTTAGGGTGTTTTCAAATCACTCCAATCCAAGATAATTTTGGAATGTAATTGCTTTACCAGGCTTTCGAAAGTTGAACAAATCCTATCTCTACCTTTTACCCCCAGAAAGTCCAGTCTAGAAATATACTATTGAGAAATTCTGCACATGTATATATAGGCATGTAAACATATCGCCCCCCCCATTAAAATTTATACAATCTTAAGTGTCCACAGCGTGGGGATTTTATGATCATTTAATCATAAAATTAAATATTACTAATACAATAAAGTATAAATGAATCAGCCAGGGCTACATTTATCAGTATGACTTTTTAAAACAAATCTCAAAAAGGTAATTGCATTAAAAATAGGTATAAAATTTTTATATCATTCGTAAAAATTTTTAAACAAAATAAACAATATTACATATACAAACATATAAGAGTCCACGTGCAAAAGTGCGCATGACAACATCATCATTTGAGAGCACTGCTGCACTGTATATGGAGGAGGGCAGGGGCAGACAGCAGCACAGCACAGGCACAGCGCTAACAGTCATTGCAACGTTTTGGTTTACAAAGAAAGAAATCTGAAGTAAATATGCCAATGTGTTAACAATG